GAACCGTATGGTGACTTGCCTGCCTGGTGTGAAGGTTGCGGATCTCTCGAGGCATCTAGATAGACTTATGTGTAGTGCTGGGGAGGAGCCTGTGGTTGTGGTACATATAGGTACCAATGATATAGGGAAGGGTAGGAGAGACATCCTGGAGGCCAAATTTAGGCTGCTAGGGAAGAGACTGAAATCCAGGACCTCTATGGTGGCATTCTCAGAAATGCTCCCAGTTTCACACGCAGGGCCAGGTAGGCAGGCAGAGCTTCAGAGTCTCAGTGCGTGGATGAGACGATAGTGTAGAGAGGAGGGGTTTAGATTCATTAGGAACTGGGGAAACTTTTGGCTTAGGGAGAGCCTATACAGGAGAGATGGGCTCCACCTAAACCAAAGTGGAACCAGACTGCTGGCACTTAACGTTAAAAAGGTTGCAGCGCAGTTTTTAAACTAGGAGATGGGGAAAAGCCGACTGCTGCAGAGGAGCACGTGGATCGGACAGAGACTTCTCTTAGAGGAGAGTCTATTGATAGAGATTCTCTAGGTTTTAGTCAGGAGGAGAGGATGGAAGAGAATAATGTAAGGGCCAAATCAGACAAGAAACATTCACATAAAAAAGAATGGGACACATTAGAAAAGGGCAGACAAATAAACAGTGACAAGTTTTTAAAGTGCTTGTACATAAATGCTAGAAGTCTAAATAATAAGATGGGTGAACTAGAGTGCCTTGTGATAAAGGAGGATATTGTTATAATAGGCATCACAGAAACCTGGTGGACTGAGGACAATCAATGGGACACAATCATTCCGGGGTACAAAATATATCGGAAGGACAGAACAGGTTGTGTGGGGGGGGTGGCACTATATGTGAAAGAAAATGAAGAATCAAATGAAGTAAAAATCTTAAGTGAATCCACATGTTCCATAGAATCTCTATGGATAGTAATTTCATGCTCTAATAAGAATATAACATTAGGGATCTATTATCGACCACCTAACCAGGACAGTGATAGTGACGATAAAATGCTAATGGAAATTAGAGAGGCTATCAAAATTAAGAACTCAATAGTAGTGGGGGATTTCAATTATCCCCATATTGGCTGGGAACATGTCACCTCAGGACGAAATGCATAGACAAAATTTCTCGATATTTTAAATGACTGCTTCTTGGAGCAGCTGGTACGGGAACCCACAAGGGGAGAGGTAACTCTCGATTTAGTCCTGAGTGGAGCGCAGGAGCTGGTCCAAGAGGTAACTATAACAGGACCGCTTGGAAATAGTGACCATAATATAACAACATTTAACATCCCTGTGCTGGGAAGAACATCTCAACAGCCCAACACTGTGGCATTTAATTTCAAAAAGGGGAACTATGCAAAAATGAGGGGATTAGTTATACAAAAATTAAAAGGTACAGTGACTAAAGTGAAATCCCTGCAAGCTGCATGGACGCTTTTCAAAGACACCATAATAGAGGCCCAACTTAAATGTATACCCCCAAATTAAAAAACACAGTAAAAGAACTAAAAAAGAACCACCATGGCTTAACAACCATGTAAAAGAAGCAGTGAGAGATAAAAAGGCATCTTTTAAAAAGTGGAAGTTAAATCCTAGTGAGGTAAATAGAAAGGAGCATAAACACTGCCAAATTAAGTGTAAAAATGTAATAAGAAAAGCCAAAGAGGAGTTTGAAGAACGGCTAGCCAAAAACTCCAAAGGTAATAACAAAATGTTTTTTAAGTACATCAGAAGCAGGAAGCCTGCTAAACAACCAGTGGGGCCTCTGGACAATGGAGATACAAAAGGAGCGCTTAAAGACGATAAAGTCATTGCGGAGAAACTAAATGGATTCTTTGCTTCAGTCTTCACGGCTGAGGATGTTAGGGAGATTCCCAAACCGGAGGCGGCTTTTGTAGGTGACAAATCTGAGGAATTGTCACAGATTGAAGTGTCACTAGAGGAGATTTTGGAATTAATTGATAAACTTAACAGTAACAATTCACCGGGACCAGATGGCATTCACCCAAGAGTTCTGAAAGAACTCAAATGTGAAGTTGCGGAACTATTAACTATGGTTTGTAACCTGTCCTTTAAATCAACTTCTGTACCCAATGACTGGAAGATAGCTAATGTAACACCAATATTTAAAAAGGGCTCTAGAGGTGATCCCGGCAATTACAGACCAGTAAGTCTAACATCAGTACCGGGCAAATTAGTTGAAACAATAGTAAAGAATAAAATTGTCAGAGACATAGAAGAACATAAATTGTTGGGCAAAAGTCAACATGGTTTCTGTAAAGGGAAATCGTGTCTTACTCATCTATTAGAGTTCTTTGAAGGGGTCAACAAACATGTGGATAAGGGGGATCTAGTGGACATAGTGTACTTAGATTTCCAGAAAGCCTTTGACAAGGTCCCTCACCAAAGGCTCTTACGTAAATTAAGTTGTCATGGGATAAGAGAGAAGATCCTTTCCTGGATTGAGAACTGGTTAAAAGATAGGGAACAAAGGGTAGGAATAAATGGTAAATTCTCAGAATGGAGAGGGGTAACTAGTGGTGTTCCCCAAGGGTCAGTCCTAGGACCAATCCTATTCAACTTATTCATAAATGATCTGGAGAAAGGGGTAAAAAGTGAGGTGGTAAAGTTTGCAGATGATACTAAACTGCTCAAGATAGTTAAGACCAAAGCAGACTGTGAAGAACTTCAAAAAGATCTCACAAAACTAAGTGATTGGGCAACAAAATGGCAAATGAAATTTAATATGGATAAATGTAAAGTAATGCACATTGAAAAAAATAACGCCAACTATACATACAATATGATGGGGGCTAATTTAGCTACAACGAATCAGGAAAAAGATCTTGGAGTCATCCTGGATAGTTCTCTGAAGACGTCCACACAGTGTGCAGCGGCAGTCAAAAAAGCAAACAGGATGTTAGGAATCCTTAAAAAGGGGATAGAGAATAAGACGGAGAGTATCTTATTGCCCTTATATAAATCCACGGTATGCCCACATCTTGAATACTGCGTACAGATGTGGTCTCCTCATCTCAAAAAAGATATACTGACATTAGAAAAGGTTCAGAGAAGGGCAACTAAAATGATTAGGGGTTTGGAACGGGTCCCATATGAGGAGAGATTAAAGAGGCTAGGACTTTTCAGCTTGGAAAAGAGGAGACTAAGGGGGGATATGATAGAGGTATATAAAATCATGAGTGATGTGGAGAAAGTAAATAAGGAAAAGTTATTTACTTCTTCCCATAATACAAGAACTAGGGACCACCAAATGAAATTAATGGGCAGCAGGTTTAAAACAAATAAAAGGAAGTTCTTCTTCACACAGCGCACAGTCAACCTGTGGAACTGCTTGCCTGAGGAGGTTGTGAAGTCTAGGCCTATAACAGCGTTTAAAAGAGAACTGGATAAATTCATGGAGATTAAGTCAATTAATGGCTATTAGCCAGCATGGGTAAGGAATGGTGTCCCTAGCCTCTGTTTGTCAGAGGGTGGAGATGGACGGCAGGAGAGAGATCACTTGATAATTACCTGTTAGGTTCACTCCCTTTGGGGCACCTGGCATTGGCCACTGTCGGTAGACAAGATACTGGGCTAGATGGACCTTTGGTCTGACCCAGTATGGCCATTTTTATGTTTTTATGTTCTAGGTTGAATCATTTCTACCCCATCTCTTTCCAGGCTGTCTGCTCTCAGCATGCTGCCCAAAGAGATGGCATTTACCTTCCTGGGTGCAGATCCCTTTTTTCACTTGAGTCTTCTGTACCTAGATTCTACCTCCCCTTTTTTAAGGCAACAGAAGCTGTGGTCCACTCTACTTCTCACTCTTCCACCCTCCTATAAGAATGTAGCAGCTCTAGCTGTTATAATTCCTTCTTTCTGTAAAATGTGCTGCAGTGCTTGGGCCACTCTGTTCCCAGTCTCCCCCCTTCTCTTCCAGGAAAGCTGCTGAAAACTGCTTTTCCCACTCAGTTCACTTGTTTGGCCAAAACCTATGCATGCCCTGAATCAGTAGATGTTACAAACCCAGATTCTGCACATTTGCATTAAAATACTGCATATAAGAAATTTTGTCAGTCAGCTTCCAAAACAGCCTTATCTTTTGGAATTTTCTTACTTCTGATTCCTTGATACTGCAAACTGTTAACATTCCATTAACAGTTGTTGGGTTTTTAAAAAGAGAGAGAACTGTTGGGATGGAAGATATTGGGAGGTAATTAGCTTGCTGAGCTGATAACCTCTATTAGTGAACCTTGTTAAGTTCACTGCTCTACCCCCAATTCAGTCTGAAAGATCGGTAAGTTCCTTTCTCATCAGTTTGTCTATGCTGTGCACACATGTCAGATGCAAGTTCCTTTCTCTGCAACTTAGAAGCTTCATTGTCTACTATACATTTTCTGAACTAAGAAATGCTAACTTAAGGAACTGTGCACACATTTTTTTCACTCTTGCCAAACCTAAGCTACTGAAAGGATTTTGCTCAAACTTTCCAGGGGTGGGAAGGAATCACCTTCAAAGCAGAAACCAAGTATAGAAAATTTAAGCTGAAATAGGGAAACATTTGAAAAGTGGTGAGCATATAAAAATGGGGACATAATTTAAACTTTTGCAACTTTCGTTATATTAGGTAATATTAAGTGCCCATTGTAATAAACAAAGTAATTGTTTCCATGAGTCATCTAATAGGTGTTGCTGATTGGCATCTAGAAATCCATACTTTTCAGAGGTTTTCTGGTGTGTGTAAAAGTTAGTTTATCTCAGCAAATGTTGAAACCATTGTTATGCTGACCACTATAGTTTAAGCTGCATAAATGATGGTCACAAATGTTAAAATTGGTAGATTTTTACACAGTGAATAGCATTCTCTCTGATTTAAGAAACTCGCAGGCATTCATACTGTATACTTCATGTGATGATGACTACAGAGTTATTTCAAACCTAGTTTGTGGTGTTTTTACTGTTGTGTTTCTAATGTTGACTTTCTTTTGTGGTAGGGAGACCTATGGTCCACCATCTTATCAAAGTGCTAGTCAATTGGAGGCAAAATGTTTGCTGTCTGGTTTAGACCGTAATGAAGCACAGGATAAGACTGAAGGAATGAGCTGTATGATATATGACAGGAATGAAAGTGACTTACATAACAGAAATTTTGAAAGCCCACGTTCTTCTGCTGCAGATGACACAGTTGTTAGGTATTTGAATGACCGACCAGCAATTGATGCTTTGCAGAACATTGAGTCTCTTTTTAAAGCTGTAACCCCTACAAGATCAGAGGAGGAAAAGACTAATGGATCCAGAAGAGATGAGAGCAGCACTAAAACTCCTTTGAGTAGCACAGCCCAGGATGCTGAACTGAAAGGGATAAGGCTGGCAGAATCTTCTCCTTCCTCCACTAGCACTTCTAGTGCCCACAGGCTGGAAATCTTAAAACGGCGGCAGCATGATGCTAAATTGCATGATGCTAAATTGGAGAAGCTGAAGGAGCGGATTAGGAAGCAATGGGAGCATTCGGAAGAATTAGGCAGCAAGGGACAACTTCTGGGATATGCCGAGCAGCCTGTAGTGGTAACAAATGTGGAGAACGCAGTGACGCCAAAAGTCAGAAAAGTGGCAGTTGCACCCCCTGCTCCAACATATAAAGGTATGTAGACCCTCTATCTCATGTTATTTACGTGTAGGGAGAGAGAGAGAGAGAGAGAAAGGAGAGTTTTTGTGCAGCGTGTCAAAATATGGGAATTGGCTTGTGACTTCTGTCTGTTTGGGTAGAAATCGTTTAAATATGACCACAGGCAAGAAATTATGCCATCTAAATGTACACCTTCAGTATGTTTTACATCATTTATAATTCCTCCTGCACCTTCTCCCCAGTCAAAATAGAAAATTAGAGCATGCCATCTCATTACTCTCTTAGGTTACCTGCATACTAGATGCATTTTCGTGTAGTCCTGTGCAGCGTTTGGCAATTTATATATGCTGAAATTTTTTTTTGTTCTAATCACTTCATCAAAGGTACGTTAAACACCAACTGCATTTAAACAGTTTAAAGGTTTGAAGCAAAAGCCAGGAAGTGCAAGGTTAAGCTTTTTCACTTTGTATTTCACCATGAACACAAAGAATTAAGATCATGTATTTGTCCTAACTTCAGGCTCCCATAATTTCTATGAGTCTAGAATGGCAATGGTGGTGTTCTAACATCGTTTCTTAATAAAATTTACACTTTTTTTTACAAAGAGAAAAATGCAGAAACCTCAAAAGGTACAATTATTGACATTAACCAAAACATCCTTCAGAGTTCAGGTAATCCAATATGGGGCCTCTTTAGATTATATGACCGTATTATATTCTTATATACTGTTTAAAAGTATTGTTCACTCATTGAGTGAGTTAGGTTTTTTTTTTTTAAGCTGCTGCTGACTATAATGGAAATACAGTCTTGTGCACAAGAGCTTTTTTAATGGAACCTCTTTTAAATTGTTTGTTGCACGTGCACTAGAAATGGCCCCTTCTGTGAAATTAGGATCCGGCTTTCCCCCTAAACTCAATGATATTTTTGTGAGTGAATAGAGCGTGGGTCTGCCTATAAATACATGTGGAATCCACTCCAAAGATTAAGGGTGCCTAGGCCCCTCTTTGTGCACAGTAGCTTCTTTTGAAATCTAACATCTTGGTTAGTTTACACACTTCTCTGAAATCTCTAAACATGAATCCTGGTCTTTTACTCTCTAAATTTGAGACATGGAATAGGTATGAATTTCTGATAAGACTTGGAAAATCAGGCCTTATTTGTACTTTTGGTAATGCTCCTTGTTAAGCTAGTGCTTGTCAACTGCTTGCGGTGTAGTACTTTCTCCTAATGTAATTTACCTTGGCAACTGAAAACAGCCTTTTAGGCACCATATAAAAGATATGTCTATATTACAAAGATAAGTCAACCTATGTTAGGTCGACTTACAGCCACTGCATTAATTACTGCAGTGGCTGGTGTCCACACTACTCTCTTTCTGTCCGTGGTGCGTGCCCTCACAAGGAGTGCTTCCACCGTCTGCAGAGGGGCCATGTGGGGGACTGAGAGCCAGGGCTCTTAGCTCCACGTAGCTCCCCACCGAGAGCCCAGCTGCTCCCCAGGGCTTCTTGCCTTCCCGCTCCCACCTGGGAGTGGCGGGGCAGCTGCCTAGGGCATCTTGCCTCCTGCGGGGAGATCTGCGCTCGGAGACTGGTCAGCTGCTGTGCTTCCAGCGGGAAGCCAGGACCCTGGGAGGTGGCAGGGCTCCCACTGGGGAGTTGGGAGCCTGGGTGGCACCCCGGCTTGAAGCAGAGACCAGGCAGCAGCCGTCTTGGGAGCCAGGAGTTGGCTTTCTTGTCAATTTGGAGCTGTGAAACTGACAAGAATGACAGCCAAAATCTGATGTAAGGAACGCAGTGTCTACATAGACCTAACTACACCGACATAAAATCTATACCTCTCAGTGAGGTGATTTTATTATGTTGGCATAGCAGGGGAGTTACATCAGCGGGAGGAGCATTTCAGTGTGTACATCTCCACTGTTTTGTCAACAAAACTGTGTAGTGTAGACAAGGCCTAATAGCACAATTTTTTTCCTCAAGGTTTTTAAAGTATTCTGCAAAATCTAGATAAAACTCTGTTTATCGTAGGTTTCAATCCTGCTGAGACAAAGATTCGCACTCCTGATGGAAAGGTGTGGCATGAAGAGGAATTTCATAACATCAGTAGGGAGTTGTATCGAGATATAGCACTCCAATTAACAGGTGAGAAGCAGATCTAAGCTTATTAATACACACAGGCTTCTTTGAGAAGCAGCTAGCATTGCTACACACACAACTTAACTGACACAAACGCATGGCAAATGAAAAGTTGAGCTACCTAATAGTGCATATCCTGTATTCCAGTGTTTCTTAAACTTATTTGATCACACCATTCTTTGCATCTGTAGTAGTTTATGCCCCCTGCCACACAAGTAAATACACCAATAAAAAAATCAACATGCAACTCTTGCTAAATATTAAAAACAGGAAGGCATTGATTCAAACAGAGCCACTTAAGTACATAGTAATGTAAATTTTAAGTGAGATGCTGCAGTTTTGGGCACCCAGCCAGCAGCCACCACTCTTCGGCTTTCCAGTTCTGAAGGCAAGACAGAGGGCAGCATAAAATGTGCGCAGTACCTTTTTTTCTTAAGCTTCCCACACCAGAATACATTCTGTGCCTCCCAGTTTGAGACTCTCTGCTGTACTCCATCCACAGGCACTAGAACTGGTTGAAAAAACTTTTGCCCCCCTGCAAAACATTTTTAACTAACAGGATTTCTTTTAAATAAGTCAAATGATTGTTTTATTTTGTATTGGGATAAAAAATGCAGATTGAAGTGGAACAATTTGTCATTTAATTTTGAAATTTCCCATTGAAAAATTTCATCAGATCTTTTCCCACAATAAAATTGTTTTTGATGAGACCCCACTTTTTTGTGGTAAAATTTTTCATTTGAAAAAATGCAAACAGTTCTAACAAATGCACACCTTTCAGTTACCACAACTACTACCACAGCTTTAATTCTGCCCCTTCAACGCACCTTTTTACCAAATTACCCACTCCCAAAATTAGTTGTGGAGATGTTTTGTGTTGTGGTGTGTTCCACTATGAGGTAGCTTAACTTCTCCTAAACTGTCAGGAGTGGAAAGTCATGTCATATGCTAATCAAAAGATCACTGGACAGTACAGATACTTCAGGACCCAAAAAGGGACTTTTGTTGTCTTGACAACTCTTATCCCAGGTTCTCTTATAAGGGGTAAATTAAATCAAGCCAGGTATTAATACACGAGAAGTCTCATTGTGCTTCTCCCTCAGCTCAAGGGAAACAGAAGGTTCAGCTTTCAAAAGAGGAGGAGGAGTGGAAAAGTTTTTCCAGTAAGAAGGGTGCCAGGGTAACTCTTCCCACAATCACATGTTGCTATGTAACTCTTCCCTAAAGAAGGGAGACAAAAAAGGTGAACTAGCAGGAAATGAAAAAAACATTGTCATGATGTGCCATGATTTTTTTTCCTTACAGCACTCCTACATCGGTTTTGTCTGTTGTGAGGATTAGATAGGATCTTGGGGATTTTATAATTTACTTGTTTGTTTCTTTACTGCTGCTTTGTTAACAATAATTTGATTTCAGGAGTTTGAGTTTTTTACAAGGGCTTGGCTTTGCTTATTTTACACTACCAAATGAACTTTTTTCTTTCAATGTTTAATAAATACACACACAAAAAAGGGGGGGGAACAATGAAAATGTACAAAACTCAATGCAACTGAATTGTTTTCAGTAATATCCCTTATTCCCTCTCTTTGTGTAGAGAAAAAACCTTTGCTTGATAGTCTTTTAAATAGAATTAAATGTCCTTGTTGTGGCAGGGGATCAATTTTAGCAATAGTACTCAGGTTTTGTTAAAGCAAATGCTGTTTCTTAAGACAAATGCATACAAAGGACAAAAAGAAAACAGTAACCAAAGATGCTAAAATGTAGCCTGGCTTTGCTTACAGTTCAGTTGCTGAAAGACCACAAGTATAGCACATGCCCATTTGGCCACTCCAAGTCCTTGGCTTTACTCCTCCTGGCTCTGGAAAATGTTTGGCTGCTGTTGATTGTCTTTACTTTCCTCTGGCAAGTCTGTAGGATATTTTTACTGAGATAAGGCTGCCTTTTAGTTTGTCAGACTGGCTACAGCAAAATGATATGGTTAAATAGCTTCTGATTCACTTAGCCAGGGAAAAAGAAGAGATGAGAGAAATAAAGTGGCTATGGAAATTGACACACTAAGAGGGCGTAATGAGGATCTTAGGCTTTCATCTCGGGAGTTGCTTGGATCATACCAAAGATAAAATGTTGTCCAAATACCTGTTCTTATCTGGTCAGAACATATTTCAGGCAAAGGAAAAGGACCAGTGTAAATAGTAAATCTTTGGGTCCCAGTGTTAATGATGTTGGCTGAAGTAATGGTGGTCGTGATCCGTCTTCCTTCACACTCAGAACTTGCTGCCAAGCTGAAGAAGTTGACAAGTGATCCTCACAAAAATGTCCAGAAAGAACAACAATCTATTTTTATCAAAATTACCCAGTCAAAACAAGCTTTCAATGGTCCACATATGTATATTCTGCCATATTTGTAACTTCACCAGGAGCCTCTAAGGCTCCTAATTTAAGTGGTGTTTTTAGTTCAAACAAGCTTAATTTGCATTTGGATAACTTTATTGAATTATGTGCTTTTTGAAATATTTTTGTCACTTTTACTTGTCAAAAAGATTATGTTTACATCTTTCACCCACTTAAGATGTTTCAAGATTTTAACCCAGGGTAGGTTTCAACACATGTCCCAGTAGATGCCATCTCTGTTCAGAAATGGTCATTTTAAGTACAGTCCTTCCCTAAGCTCCAAAATGTTAAGCCTATACAACAGTCATTTTCTAACACCTTCCCCTCCACAGAGAGAGAGAGAGACTCGCTCTCTCTCTCACTTCCTATGCATTCTCTTCCAGTAAAATCTGGGATTTCATAGTATCAGAATAAGGTAAGTTGTGGTTCTGACATGGGGTTATTAACATTATTGAGAGTAGATTTAGAAATTTTTTCTTTTCTTTTTTATTTTTTTTTTTTTTTTGCGGTGCCTTGCTGTTTTAAAAATATGCTGAGATCACATAAATTATCCTGCAAACATCTCCCAACAAAAAATAACTGGAGAATTCTGCACAAACTCTCTGGACTTTTATGGCTTTGTTATATAAGTATTAAAGATCCATTTTGCCTGTGAGAGACTGTTCAGTTACTAAAATTCAAAGGTCTTTTATCACTAAGCCTGTTCTTTAATGAATTTCAAAATGATTTAATGTAATTATTTTTTTCTCTTAATGTATTTAAAAATCAGCACAAGAAAACAATCTAAACTCTTTACAAAGTCAGTTGGGGCTCACTTTGAGAACGATAAGCAAAACTTAGCTTTTCCCAGCTCTGTCCTAAAATCTTGTGGAACCCTCCTTAGCTATGTGTTATCTATCTGCTCTTGACCTTTCCACTCAAATTCACATTTGTTATCCTAGATTTTTGGAAATGTCCTTTTAGATGTACCTTCACAATATCCCACAGCGGATGACTGCCATCCCCAGATGATGATGATGACGTGAGGTTTTTCTAATTGTGATAGTGGCCACATGTATCCTACTCAGTGGGAATGTTGATTCTGAATCCCACCCTTGGGTTCATCTCTATCAACTAAACACATGTTAAAATAAATCTTGTCCTGTCTACACTAGAGTTTAAAACAATGTGTTAAAACACTTTAGCTAAATGCATTTTAAAATACCATATTTATCTTAGTCTACCCAAGCCCATTGGTAACAATGCACTGACTCGGATTTGGTTCACTTTTTGAATGCTTTCTTTGCAGCCATAAGGGCTAAGGCTTAAGTCTTTTTTTTTTAAATGAAAGCTTAAATGATGCAGAACAATTTTGAATCAGTGAATATGTCTACACAGCAAACACACACCCTGGCTTGCCTGGGTCAGCTGACTCACTACGAGTATGTCTACACTACGAGAGTAGTTCGATTTTACTTAAATCGAATATGTGGAATCGATATTACAAAGTCGAACGTGTGTATCCACACTAAGGACAGTAATTCGACTTTGTGAGTCCACACTAACGGGGCAAGCGTCGACATTGGAAGCGGTGCACTGTGGGCAGCTATCCCACAGTTCCCGCAGTCCCCGCTGCCCATTGGAATTCTGGGTCGAGCCCCCAATGCCTTCTGGGGGAAAAAATGTGTCGACGGTGGTTTTGGGTAACTGTCGTCATCCAACCGTCACTCCCGCCCTCCCTCCCTGAAAGCGCCGGCGGGAAATCAGTTTGTGCACTTTTCTGGTCAGTGACAGCGCGGACGCCACAGCACTGCGAGCATGGAGCCCGCTGCGACCATCGCTGCAGTTATGGCCGTTGTCAACACCTCGCACCTTATCATCCACCTTTCCCAGAGGCAGATGCTGAGAAATCGGGTGAGGAGGCTACGGCAGCGCGGTGAGGACCTGAAGTCTGAGAGTGGCACAGACCTGTCACAAAGCACGGGACCCCGCGCCGAGGACATCATGGTGGCAATGGGTCATGTTGATGTTGTGGAACGGCGATTCTGGGCCCGGGAAACAAGCACGGACTGGTGGGACCGCATAGTGCTGCAGGTCTGGGATGAATCACAGTGGCTGCAAAACTTTCGCATGCGGAAGGGGACTTTCCTGGAACTTCGTGAGTTGCTGTCCCCTGCCCTGAAGCGCAAGGACACCCGGATGCGAGCAGCCCTGACTGTCCAGAAGCGAGTGGCCATAGCCCTCTGAAAGCTTGCAAGGCCAGACAGCTACCAGTCAGTCGCGAACCACTTTGGCGTGGGCAAATCTACCATGGGGGTTGTTGTGATGCAAGTAGCCAACGCAATCGTTGAGCTACTCCTCTCAAAGGTAGTGACCCTGGGAAACGTGGAGGTCATCATAGAGGGCTTCGCCGCGATGGGATTCCCAAACTGTGGTGGGGCTATAGATGGAACTCACATCCCTATCCTGGGACCGGACCACCAGGCCAGCCAGTACATTAACCGAAAGGGCTACTTTTCAATGGTGCTGCAAGCACTGGTGGACCATCGGGGACGTTTTACAAACATCAACGTCGGATGGCCGGGCAAGGTTCATGACGCTCGCGTTTTCAGGAACTCTGGTCTGTTTAGACGGCT